AAACGGCCAATACTTATTAGCCAACCTAATAGAAGGTAATTGAAAGCCGAACAATTTCACTTTGGAGTCGGACCTACGGTCCTATAAGTACGCTCCCTGGTAAATGTCGGCACCAACTGGCAATTGTGCCTTTACAGCCCCACAACTAAAGGTGATAGGTCCCTCCACAGCCCTCGGCCCAGTCTTTAGAGACAAACTGTTCACTCATCTCCGTGATCCTGCCCCTTGCACCTTTTGTGAAATGTATGGATCCGCAGCTGCGACATCATGTCATTTTCTTCGGTTAAAAGTGCACATTAACAGGGCTGAGAGGTAGTGACCCATGATACCCGTGTGCTGACTCTACACTCCGCCCGCGCTGCCGTACGGCCAGCTGCACGCTTAATCACAGCCATGCGAGCTACTTGTCTGCGCCTTCTCTTTTCTGATAGCTCACTAACTGAATGCGTGTTTCGCTGAGGGATCTTGACATCGACGCAAGTTTTGCACGCTGAGGATAACGCGGGCGGAGTATGAAGACGGCGTCGGGGTATCGCTTCCCTACAGCTCCGTTCCCGTACATTTTTGAGCGGATGAAGTGGCACGCTGCTGCATTTGACCCATTCACCTCTCATATGGAAAGGACTTGTACTCGGAGGTGAGTGGACAGTTTGTCTTTGAGTTTGACTCGAATGGCGCACAATGCCACCTAGGCATAAGGACCCTTACACTATACAAAAGTACAGTTAACTTGTTGGTACATGAAATTTGTTTCATGTATTTATTGAGCTATTTCAACTTTGCAGAGATCTGTGTTCATGGATCAGTGACATGAAAGCTGTGATCTCGGCCGATGAACTCGCTAAAGATGTCGCTGGTGCTGAAGCACTTTTGGAAAGCCACCAGGAGCATAAGGTAACGGCTTTTCTATAGCCGTGAACTTGTTATGTACCATCAAAAAATGTCCTAATTTCTCAATTTCTAGGGAGAAATTGATGCTCGTGAAGGACAGTTTCAACCAGACGGCTGTTTCCGGTCAAGGTCTTCTTGATATGGGAATCCCAGAAAGCGACGAAGCGAGTTATATATTTTTACTTTTCCTGCTTTCTACGAGAGAAGTTGCTTTTCAGGTCCGTCAAAGGCTAGAGCATCTGGCCCATGAAAAGGCCGCTCTGCTTGCTCTTTGGGAAGAGCGCCGTATTCTGTATGAGCAGTGCATGGATCTTCAGCTGTTTTATCGTGACACCGAACAAGCTGAGACATGGATGAACAAGCAGGTTCGTTATGAAGCGCTTTATCTACCCTTACTGGATATCATTCGTACTAATCCCTCAGATTTCCAAGTATCGTTATTCAGGAAGCTTTCCTTGCCAATCAAGACCTCGGCGACTCGCTCGATGCTGTTGAATCGTTGATCAAGAAGCATCAAGACTTCGAAAAGTCATTAGCTGCACAGGAAGAGAAGATTATTGCTCTCGATGAGTTTGCCACGAAACTCATCCAGGTAACTGATTTCTGTTATTTGTCTTGGGTAAGCGACCAACATCAACCATACCTCTCTTTGTTTCCAGGGTCAGCATTATGCTGCAGATGATGTGTCAAGAAGACGTCATGCCCTACTTGACAGAAGACGTCGTCTCATGGACCGCGCCGCCGATCGTGCTCGTCAGCTACATGAAAATTATAAAAAGCAGACATTTAATCGGTTTGTATACTTACAAACATGTTACCCACCTCATTGGTGAGTGTTTCGAAAGAATTGATGGTCTAGGGACTGCGATGAAATGGAGAGCTGGATCAAAGAGAAGCTGAAGACAGCTAAAGATGACTCCTACCTTGACCCTACAAACATTCGAGGGAAACTTCAAGAAGCACACCAATTTCGAGCAAGAACTCAAGGCCAACCGTAACCGTCTGGATGAAATCAACGATACTGGCGCTCAGATTATTGAGAGCGGTCATCCTGAAGCTGACGATGTATGCTCTTTCTAAACTATGAACTCAGTTCCCCTTTCCAATTGGATTGAGAACAATCAATTTCAGGTACGTCGTCGTCTAACAAGACGTGGATGAGTTGTGGAATGAGCTTGTAGATGCGACGAACAAGAAAGGAGCGAAACTTCGCGAAGCTGGTGATGAGCAACAGTTCAATCGTAACATCGAAGATGTCGAGCTATGGCTTAGCGAACTCGAAGGACAGGTCGCTTCTGAGGACTTTGGCAAGGATCTCGTATCGGTCCAGAATCTCCAGAAGAAGATAGCTCTCCTTGAAAGCGATTATCTTGCTCATCAAGATCGCGTGGATGGAATCAAGGCCTTGGTGAGTGGGTGTTGACCTAAGATGTTATTTTATAAGTTTTCATTACGGGCTCGATGATGCCTAACCGTAGAAGTATTACCTGAGATGTGGAGTTGCAGGCCAAGAAGTTCGCTGACGATGAACATTTCAACGCCCCTGTTATTATTCGCAAACAGGAAGCCTTGCAGACACGTTTCCAGGTAAGCTTACTCCTTGTTTTACGATTTAGAGGTTTTTTGTGGCTCATACTGTTAAGCGTGATTGACTGATTGGTAGAGCTTACTTCTTGTGCCTCCATGCATCGGTGATTTTTAGAACCTTCGTGACCCTCTTGAGAAACGTAAGAACAAGCTGGCCGAGTCTCTTCAAGGTAATCAGCTCTTCAGAGACATTGAAGATGAACTTGCATGGATCAGAGAGAAAGAGCAGGTAATGTACCTTTCAAAGTCTATAAATTTACCGAGTACTCAGTCATGTTTTTACAATGGTTACCCGCTGTTGCGCAGCCTGAATTAGCGTAATCTCGTTAGTAAAGACATCCTGGCACTAAGGAGTAATTTAGGTGGCTGGCTCTACAAATCGTGGTCGTGACCTGATAGGTGTCCAGAATCTCATCAAGAAGCAGCAAGCGCTCATTGCTGAGATCGCCAACCATGAAAGTCAAATTGATGCTGTTATCTTTTCCCATTTACTGTATATTAACTTCAGTAAACTTCAAGTATATATGTTATTCGTGGACCAGGGTCTATGCTGACTTTATAATTGGACAATCAGCACGGACGCCAAAGAACAACCATTATACGAGCGAAATTAAGCAAAGCCATCCTTATAATGCGTAACTTTTGAACCCTCTAGACCTGGTGGCCCTTCTATACCAAAATCTCATTGACATTGGAAAACTATGTTCCCCAAAAATTTTGCTTCAATAAGATGTTTCAGCACTTCTGATTCCAAGAATTTATGACCTGATTGGGTTCTCGTATATGAGCCCTGATCTTAACAGTGCGCGTCCGTGATTCGATGTAAATCAAGTAAGTGTTCATCGATCTAGTGAAGTGAACCAATCCACTCAATATTGCTCATATGTCTTTCAATAGCCCCATAATTTGCCTCATTGAAATCTCTCACCCATCTCTCTGAGGCAGCTCTATTTGAACTGAGGTTCAGACTGAAATCAATTGAGGCATGGTCACTGTTACCAATATAGTGAGATCACTTCATACATTTTAACTGATCGAGCATTTCCCCGGCCGGGCCTTTACAAAGAATCAATCTACCAGGAGAAGCCTCTGCCTGGCTGTTCTAACAAACTCTACAGAATTATGAGTGTCCAACAAAATCCAGCCAAACCCTTTCAAAAGTCAATGCTACATTCATCGCCCCCCCTTCATTTTCTAAGCTTAAAAATATATAAATACAAAAAGCAACAAACAAACTAACTCAATAAAATATGTATTAGATATTCGCAAAAAATTAACCTTAATGACTTCACATATAAATATTAACCAGCACTAGAATGCTTATAATCCCCGTCTAGCATATGATAAAAAGACAGTATTAAAAACGGATTTCCGGGACCGATTTTCTTGAGACGATATTGCCTCCGAGATCCGAGACAAACTCGCACAATTCGTGATAACTGGAGAATCTTGAAGACGAAGGCTGAAAAGCGACGTCTGGAGCTTGATGACTCGCTGCAGGTAAAATTTTCCGTTACTTTGTCACGTGCTGGATCTAATAAATCAGTTTGTTTTAGGCTCATCAATATTTGGCTGATGCAAACGAAGCCGAGTCGTGGATGAACGAGAAAGAACCTGTCGTCGGCTCCACTGATTATGGAAAAGACGAAGATTCAGCTGAGGCTCTTCTCAAGAAGCATCGTGCACTGATGTCGGATTTGGATGCCTTCAAAGGAACCATCGATGATTTGAGAAAGCAGGCCGCCCAATGTAAATACCAGGAGCAACCAGTTGGACAGCTTGGTATGTGCTAGTTTTTGCAATGTCTTTCGGGGATGTTGGACACCAGTTATCTTTGAATTATTCAGGCCGTGATTGTGTCCTTGCGTTGTACGACTATCAGGAAAAGTCTCCTCGTGAGGTGTCTATGAAGAAGGGCGATGTTCTCACTCTGCTGAACGCCTCGAACAAGGACTGGTGGAAAGTAGGTGTTATAGATAATCAAGGAAGTCTGCTGTGTTGTCGGCGTACAGAGCTAAATGTAGAGACTATCTGGGATTTTTCGCGATCTGAAGGCTCTCTTTACTAACAAGGGAGGTCGTTCAGGGCGTGCCCCGCTTTTTCGAAACGGTTATTGCACTTTGTAGGGCCTTGCCCATGAACCATAAAAGTGGGCTTCATTTTGGCTGAGCGGCCCCTGGAATGCCAAAAAAGGAGCGAAAAAGATCATCTTCGAATACTTGATCGCGGACCGTTCCTTTAATATGGAACCACATGTTTCTTCCAATGAATGCGTTAGGTACACACATATAAGGGACGTGTAGCGCTACCCAGGCGCCAAATTACGTCGGCGCCGAAAATAAGTGTCAAAATCGTGATCGGGGCCATCGATTACCCCTGTAGACGTTTCGGCCAAATTTTTTTTCGACTTTTTGGGTTTATGCGTTGGGTTGTGCAGT